CTGGTGGAGAATATTCGCACATGGGCAGAGGCGCGCGAGGCTGTTAGACGACGCGTTGAGGTGGCATTCAAGGCAATTGTGGAAGAAAATTCGAGAGCAAATAACACAACGGTCACCCGCAACGCTCACTGGCAATGTGAAAGCAGCTCGCGCGCACGTCGGCCAACGCGAGCGACGCGACTCACCAGATACAGCATTGGATCCTCATCACAGAAAGCGCAAGGAGCCAACGCGAAGCAACACGATGCAGAGCGGGAGTTCGGCAAACGAGATGGCAGCGCCATCGTCGCGGGGACCCACTACATGCAACTATACAGGAGCTGCGCCGTGCAGCCCGAGGTGAGCTGCATCAGCGCCCTTAATGACGGTATCGACCATCTTGCCCGACATTCAAACCAACGGCGGCGAGGGGAGTACATCAATGGCGGCCTCCAGAGGTCAGAGCCCTATCCTAGGAGGCAACAAAAACAGCTAGGTTTCCTGAGCGCAACCTCTGCTGGCCACGCCAGTTCTACCGCGCGCGGTACCACCTGTTGGCCACGGTGGGGGTCAAAGACAGCAGACCAAATAACAATCAATCGGAATATTGCCTGTCCCGGTGAGATCACGGGGACAATTTGCGAACGCGGAAGTGCAATATTGGTGTTCTGGGAATGCAGGATACTGGGATGCGGCGATCCAAGGCTCCTCAACCATCAGAGCGGAAATGCTATCCATGACACTGGACGAGACACGCGCCAAGATGAAAGGGTCCGCCTATGGCACCTTGTACTTTGACTTGGAGAACTACTACGTCGGCGTGGACCTCAGAATCCCCATCAGGCGCGCGGTGCACCTCGAATACCCAAAGGTCACCTTATACGTGGACATGCCGCTGTGCTTTTCACCGACATGCGCGACCAATGTGTACGCGGAATGTACTATTAGCTGGGCGCGCAGCGGCGAACCGCGCAGCGAGGTCCATAATTTACATCGTTCTGGACATCACTCACAAAGCATCGCATCTGGCCGTCGCGCGCGAGTCCGTTGACGGACTTTGCGCCGGCGAAGCACAGCCGCTGGAAGGCATCCCGACGCTGAAAAGCCGACGGGAACCAACAAACACTTCCAAAAACCTCGAACCACTTCGTCCGCCTCCTCCTATTCCTCAGCCCCGACCCTCCTCCTCCTACTCTGCCTCCTCCCCCTCCACAAGCGCGCGTTCTTTCGGCCGGAGCACCGGCAGCAAGCGCAACTCTCCCGCTGGCCGGTCTCGGCACTCAGGAAGCGGGGGCGGGAGCGCCGACGAACGTCACCCCTGTGGGCCAAAAAGGCACGCCGCAGGAGGATGACGAGGGAGGGGGAAGTGTGGATCAGATCAAGCCTAGCGCAAGGGTGCCGATCGCCCAACTCACAGTGACGATGCAACAGAGGTGGCAGAGCAGAGCTAAGTCCACGGGGCCGACCGTCCACTGAACACTGACGATGCACAAGAGGTGGCAGAGCATACCTAACACCAGGATGCCAATGTTCCTTCCTACATGAACGATGCAGAAGAGGTGGCATATCAAAGTCAATCCGGCGCGACCCCAACTAGGGGAAACTTCCCTGTTGCATGGACGCATTGCTTTGCCTTGTTCGGCAGTGCTTTGCACTGCCTTGCATTGCTTTGCATTTCTTGGCATGACTTGCGATTACTGAGCATTGTTTGTCTTTGCTTGGTATGCTTGGCGTTACTGGCACAACCTGGCATTGTCTGGCATGTCTTTGCATGTATTGGCATCGTTTTGCACTGCTGCGAGCATGATCGAACGCGTGAAATGGTGGAAACTGACGTGGAGGCACGATTCCACGTGCGTGCATCAACGAACGCGTGACACGGTCGATTCTGGTGTGGTGGCGGTGGGAACCCGAGGATCCCGGGGAACCCGATGAACCTCGGAGGAACGGGCAACATAACAATAGGAGGCACCGGGGGGCGGGAACCCGAGGAGCCCGGGGAACCCCGAGGAACCCCAGGGAAACGGACAACGTGACAATAGGAGGCACTGGGGGCGGGAAATCCGAGGAACCCGAGGAACCTCTGAGCAACGGGCAAAGTAACAATAGGAGGCACCAAGCTTTCATCAAGTCAGAAGCCCTTAGGGGAAGAACATGGGAAAACTAACTTTGGGTTGCCGATTGTCCAACTCGCGAGGACGATAAACAAAAGGTGGCAGTACATAACCAACTCCAGTGTGACGGTGGAGATGGATCAGGAGGAGAAGGAGGAGGAGGAGGAGGAGAAGGAGGCTCTCGCTCGCGAATATGCGCGTGGCCAGCTCTCGAGCCACTCGACACTGCGGGAGCCGCAGGGCGTTCAAGCGAACTGTGCTTCCGTCGATGTCGGGAGCATCTCACCCGGGCCCTCAGCCTGGGGGCTCCCTTAGGAATAAGATGATGAGGAGCGGGACGACGATGCGGACCTTTGGAACCGATGTTGATGTTAAGCTGGGTTCGGTACTCCAGGGTAGGAAAAGGTGGGGAGTTGAGGGGGCTCAGGAAGGATCTGGTGATCTCGGGGGAAGCGAGGTGTGCGGCAGTGGATGTGGAGGCGGGAGGAAGATGGCCGAGGGCGCCCGAAAAAGAAGATCTGGCTGAGGAGAAGGAGAGATTGGGGAGAGAATGAGCAGAGGAAGGAGGAGGTGGGAGGAAGAGGAGAGACGAGGGAGAAGGGGTGGGAGCGAGGCATGGTGGATGGAGGCGGGAGGCAGGGCGGAGGGACAAGGGAGGGATGATTGAGGACTGAGAGGGGGACGGACAAGCATCTGGAAGAAACTGATGGAGCGATAGGGGAGAAGAAAGCGAGCACGAGCCGAGGAGCGAGTGATGAGTGATGAAGAAAGGTCAGGAGGTAGACTCAGTGTTGTGAGCGAGGAGCAAAATGGGTGCTATCACCTTCTCCTTTGCCACAAACTGCTTGGCGGATGAGCCGCTGATCCGGGATGTCACCCACTTCGGGATACATGATCGCTGCTCAATGAAAACAGTGGGGTGGTCGACACCACCACCACCAGCGCGAGATGACAGGGAGGGTCTTTTTAGTGGTGTACCCCCCCTCCGCTCGCTGCAGATGCCCCCGATTTATCCCCAGCTCGGGGAGGCATCGTGGACCCCATCGCTGGAGGTGGTTCAACTGGTGGTGGTGAAGGTATCGCCTCTCCTTACTGCGACCTGCCTCTGTCTGACCTTCCTCCTGCCATCCTCCGACCTTCCGCCGACCATGTTGACTTACTCCGTACACGTATCAGGCATGCAAATTTGAATAATTTTGGTGTTCCCTCTCGTCCCCTTGCCCCTTCCCCGCGCCTCCCCACCAGCCCCTTCCCCGCCCTCTGCCACGACATGATGTGACAACATGAAGGAATATGACAATGATGAATTGATGCTGCCATTTGTCTCCCAGGCGGTCTGGACTGGAGCTCAAACTATACACTTGCTTGTTTACTGACACACGCACGGTGGCCCCTTAGCAATACAACCATCAACACAACCATCAGAAACAACTCTCCGGCAAGACCACATGGCGCTTGCGTGACAAACCTACGGGCATTGTGCTATCATGACATACTTTCGATCATATCGTCCATGTGTATTTGCACTTTTCTCCGACTGCGCGCTCCAGGGCGTCTTAAACCGGAAAATCCGTCTGGCGCAAGCCAATTATACCTTAGAGTACGTAGCACAAAATGTTCTTGAGGGCAGCGCAAGATGTTACCTTGTGAGAAGATCAGCATGAGCGAGGACCCAATACTTCCCCACATTCACCATAAAATGCCAAAACTGCACGCATCTGTTCAACATACGAGCGTTCAGACATGAATCATATTGTGTGGGATAACTCTGGGAATTCGTTCGGAGCGCATACACATCAGGATAATGAATGGTAGACACATCAACCAAAACATGCACGGATAAACTAGTGTACAGTCCGGGTCCTTCGAGGAGAGCTTCATTGTTCCCTGAGGTGCGAAGGTGTGAATATGCGGACGACCGCGACGGCTCCAGTGACGAACCAAAGGGACAGAGCGGTGGCACCTGTGCATGGAACAATATGTTTTACATGATTGTGTTCTACATGTCATGCGTCACCATTATGATTGGCATTATGATCTGTGCTGCAAAGGCTATGCGGGAGCCGGTCTGGGCAGCAATCTCCCACAATACCCTTTTGAAGCTCGTGTCAGGAGAGACGATCGGAACAGATATTCGTTTTTATGCAATGGACTTGATCGTCACTACTGCCATGGAACTCCTCGGCCGGGACAGAGTGCCATTGTTGAGCACGACGGGCTATGCGTCAACTCTCCTCCAGTTCTCGGGAGCGGCCAAGAGGGGGGTGTCCAAGAGGGTGGGGTGCAAATCATGACCGGCGGCATGTGCGCGGCCCAGCGGGGGGAAGAGGCGCCATGAAATCTGAGGAAAAATCATGGCCCGCGCCATGAAATCCACCCCCCCCTAGTCATCACCCCCCTCTTTTCCGCTCCCGAACTTCGTGTCTTCGCTCATGCCGCAGCGGGTCCGTGTAATACTGCTGGGACAGGCCTTGTGGTTCCCACTGGCCGGCACTGCGCCGCAGCACGGCTTCCCGCATGACGCGGGGCCGCAGCGGATCTCGGAGTAATTTCTGTGAAGGGGCCCCAGGACACACAAATAAATACACATAAATAAACAGATTCCCCATAATTTCCCCGTATTTTCTGAGTGTTTGCCTTCCCCCCCACTTCCCATAAATTCCCATCTCTTCTGGGGGATCGACGATGAATGGTGTCTGTGTGTTTGTTTCCCTCCTGAGCTTCCTGGGCACCGGTGCCAGATGGGCTGGACCCACCCGGGTGGGCGGGTGTCGGGGCCGAACGGCCGGCGGGGGACACGCAGTGGCCATGGCAACACGGACCTGGCTAGCAGCGGCAGACTTGCGCAATCAAGGCGCGGAGGAGATGGCAACAGCCATTGGCAATGGCTCTGTTAGACACAATCGTTCATGTGGACACGTAGACCAATTCACGCAGACTGATGCTGGCGCGCCACGTCAGCGACATCACAATACGAGCGAGGCCAAATGCTTGCTCGATCCGTGATTCGTCCTTGCACCCATCCTCTTTCTCCCTCTTGACGCCTTGGTCCCTGGCGGCACACGGATGCAAACTGATATGCCCGGTACAATTGTTTCTCATGCGTGTAACTTTTCATTATCTTGGTGTTCCCTCTCGTCCCCTATCCACTGCCCCGCCCTTCCCAGTTCGCCCCTCCCTGGCTCTCTGTCACAGCTTGGGAGATGACAGTGCTAGGGCTCTGCTGCCGCTTAGCTCCCACGCGTCTCAGATCGGAGCTCACAAGCACGCACATGTGGCCGCCTGGGAATGCACACGACCACACGAGCAGCAGCACAACAGCTCTCTGGCAGGATCACCCGACGCTTGCGTCACAAGCCTAAAGGGGCATGCAGACTTTCTGATGCCCCTGGTCTCTCTGCACTCCCACGCGACCCACACGTGGCGGGGCCACCTTGGGAGCGCAGTTAACCCCCACGAGCACCAGAGAATGACTGCTCCCCCCCAACCCTGCCCCCTTCTCTCGGCCTCCCCCTCCCCCCCCTCCCTCCGACTTGGGGGCGGCCGTGGGGTCTGAGCTTCAGACAGCATACGCCAAGAGAGGAGATGAAGGGAGATTCGCTGAACATCGGCCCCCAGAACCTCCTGGGGTCGAACCTGATTGATTGTTCGAGCCGCGTCCAGCCGTGACGACGAGAGGGGCCCTTGTCCCCCTGTCCTCTGGCCAGAACCGGTGCTGGCCCCCATCGGCCCCTCGGAACTCCACCTCCCCCTCCCGCCGAGGACGACGGCGG